AAAAACAACCCTGGCTTTACAGACATCTTGACCATCCTGATGTGGGAACATCTGTGCTGCCACCCCCCTATTAATTAATCTTTTATTTATTGTTCAGAGCAGCAGGAAAAACCGGGTTTGCACAAATCCACTTTGTTCTCTGTACAGATCATTTGTTCTCCTTCTGCAAGTACTTAAATCACGATTAAAGACAGATGTTTTCACTTGTTTGAAAAGGTTTTACACTCACAATAAAATGAGAAAGAAAATGATTTTCTCAGGTATAGAGGTTTTTAAATACTTCCCCAAAGTCCTCATGACCAGGAAGCTCCTTTAGTTCCAGTCCCCTTGTGGGGCTGTAGCCAGGGTGAATGGGATGGTTGAGGCAGAGCAGCTGGGATAGACTCAGGAAACACGGACCTAGTCCTGTCTGTGTCCTGGAGGAAGAGCCTGCCCTCTAGTGTCAGGGAGAGGAAGCACAGGTGAGTCTCACCTACAGAGAAGGGCATAAAAGCTTCATTTTTCTTCAGTGCCCCATTGGCATCCAGGAAGCGGTCAGGATTGAAGGTGTCTGGTTGTTCAAAGTACTGTGGGTCATGGAGAGCTGAGCTCAGGATGGGGTAGACTTCAGTGTTCTAGGAGACATTACGAGATACAAAGGTGTCAACATTCCCTAACTCACATATGCAGACAGTCAATCCATCAATCAGACACCAGGAAAGCTGGTTCACCAGGAATGCTGGGAAACCAAGAACAGGTTGGAACAAGCATGGAGGAGAAGGCAGGAGGCTCATGGAGTAGAGATGTGGAAGGGCAGCCGGTCTCACCTTGGGGAGCAGGTACCCGCGGATCAAAGTGTCTTTGGTGACTTTGTGTGGCACACCAATGGGGATAAGATCTGCAAATCTCTGAATCTCGTGGATGACGGCCTCAGTGTATGGCATTTTGGTGCGGTCGTCAAGGGTTGGTAGGCGGTGTGAGCCGATCACCTGATCGATCTCCTTTTGGACTTTCTCTGCACGGAAGAGGGGAATAGTGGATCTACTCTGCCAGCTTTGTAGCAGTGATGCTTTATTCTAGGAGACAACAACCCAGAAGAGAGTCCAGCAAGGAGACGCTCCTGAAAAACTCATTGCACTTCTGGGTGCAAACAACTGTTTTGTTTTTGAGCAGCTCTCTATATATACCCGTGTTTAAAACTAAATTAAATTTCTTCTCTGTGAGCTTCAACCTCATTTCTGCCAGGTTTTTTAAAAAAGAAAGAAGAACACACAGCAAAGGGCTACTTTATAGGCACAATTCATAGCAATGGTGTTGGTGTGGCAGTGTGAGGGACAAAAGCAGTAAAAATTCTCACCTTTGCAAGGAAATGAATTAATTGTCCCTGTATACACAAGCACAGGCATATACACGCATGCACACATGTACATACACACATACCTAAACACATACAACCTGCATATACACACCCAAATCACACACATACATGCATGCACACATATACACACATGCACAAACACACATACATAGACACATACACAATGCACACACACACACACACGCACACACGCACACAGATGCACACACTTGTGAACACATACATACATACATAAATTTTGCACATGCACCATAATTTTACATGGAATTTTATATTAAGAACTCAAAACTGTATCCTCAGGAATATAACAGAGACGTAGGTAGGTTAGCAAATGTATTTATCCATGGATGGATGTAAAAATGAATCCATAAGAAAATTAATGGATAAATCAATTAATGATTGAGGAGTTAAGGAAATGAACAGACTAAACACTAGATTATGTATTCAACTTGTAAAGCAACACATGATTCAATTAGTGGATCAATGGAAGAATGGATAAACAAACCAAAGATGAATTGAAAGGCCAGTTAGTGAAAGGATTAAGGACTGACACTGTTGATAGACGGATGCATGAGTTATGAACAAATCAATGATGGATAATTTATTCAAGTCTAATGATCAAAGGAAAAATTAAGGTGATTAACTGAAATAAGGGAATGAAATGTTTGGCTGGGTGATTGAAGAATCAATTGGACAATGGATAGATATATGGTCAAGTGGGAGGTATTAAGGGTGTGTGTGTGTGTGTGTGTGAGAGTGAGTGTTTGTGTGAGTGTGTGTGTGTGTGTGAGTGTGTGTGTGTGTGTGTGTGTGTGTGTGTGTGTGTGTGTGAGAGTGAGTGTTTGTGTGAGTGTGTGTGTGTGTGTGAGTGTGTGTGTGTGTGTG